TTTGGCCAAACAAAGCCTGTAAAATTCCAAATTGATTTGCAGCAAATTTACGGCCTTGACAACGAAACACGATTGAACACTTTTGCGGCATCGCGTYGCGTATATCAATGCAATGYGGGCCTTAACTGTTGTCAATTAGAAATTATGCCACGCCATTCGATTTATAAAGTGGGCAGGGCACAGCGCAGTCAAAACTTTCCGCAAAAGAAATCAACTTAATTGCCCAGACGGCAGATTTTTAATTGCTTTTCAATGTCGCTGACGAAKAGCAGAYACATTTTTTATTCATACCCTGTTTGCATATTTAACGGTACAAATGGAATAGAATAGCATAGAGAGGCAAACCTACCTGACTACAAATAAATATATTCATGATGAATATAAAACTATTTTCTGTTATTAGTGCAAGGTAGTGAAACGCTTGTTTTGTTCTGAGATAAATTATGAATATACGATTTTAATTGATGAAATTATGAATTTATAATGTCACAGATAAAATGTTATATAATTGTTGACTGACACAAAGTCCATAAATTTCGATTTGGCACATGACTATAAATGCCGAAATGTCAATTAAGCTCTATAGGGTATATGAAAGACTCGAAATTATTTCATTTAATTTATTTATTTTCCTTTTCTTGTGCGCTGTTATAAAAAGTTGAGCTTAAAGTTCAACTTAATGGAGGGTGAAAAAGTTCATTTAATTTACTAATTGTTGCACTTGATGCAAAATTTGCGTGCCGCCACTTGAGGCACTTGAAGGAGTGGCCTGGTCTTGAGCTCCGTGGGGAAATTAGTCAACAAAGGCCGCGGTTTGATGTAAGCGAAAATACATTAAGCTGTCAATCTTCATTTCAAACTCAAAACACACAGAGGAACCGACAAGTGTCGGGCACTGAAAATATTTTGGCAAATGCTTCACAGCATCGKATCGAAGMGGCGTCCTCAGGGAAAGGCATGGGTAGGGAAGGACAGATGCCACCAGAACGTTGAGTGGCACTTTTGAACTTTGACTGTCGCTGACGTCGCTTTGCTTCAATTGATTTCTGTTGATGCAGACAGTCAGCCGAACAGACAGCCAAACAGTCAGTCAGACAGTCAGCAAGTCTTTCATTCACAAAGTGCTGCCCTTCAGTGCCCACACTTGGCTGTCAAGAAAAGGGCAACTGAAATATCGCTAATGCTCGGCATATAAATCGACTTAACGTGTATTCAAAAAGCTCTCGTCTTTGTTAGCTGTTGCGTTAGCCTGTGGTACTTCGTACTTAGTCGTATCGACTTATTACCTCAAGTCAATCACGAGTCGAGCAGAGAGCAGAAACTCCAATGCATTAATATTTAATTCTGTGACAAGGT